AAATAATTTCGTCTTCTATGAAAAACTATTTCAACTTTTTTTTCTGAAATTGCAATTTCGGGGCTCCAAAATAATTTCGTCTTCTATGAAAAACTATTTCAACTTTTTTTTCTGAAATTGCAATTTCGGGGCTCCAAAATAATTTCGTCTTCTATGAAAAACTATTTCAACTTTTTTTTCTGAAATTGCAATTTCGGGGCTCCAAAATAATTTCGTCTTCTATGAAAAACTATTTCAACTTTTTTTTCTGAAATTGCAATTTCGGGGCTCCAAAATAATTTTGCATGCAAGTATAGTCCACTAAAATTTATATTGTTTATATTCTGAAATACTAGTAAGATCCTTAGAAGTCTATATGAAAAATGACATTTGTTTGTGAGTTCTGAAGTTATTTTTTCATAAATGTATATCGAAAAGAAATATATTTCATTTAATAATTATTTGTCAATATTTCTTTTAAACTGTGATACTTCAACAAGTTGGCTTGAAGAAAATAATACAATAGCTTCAATAATTACAATAAGAAAAAGATCTTATATCACACAAGTGTACTAATTACAATTTGTAAAATCAGTCATAATATGTATAAGCTGATATAAACTTGATTTTTTCGAATAGAAAATTGAACTTATATATAAAAAAGGTTTATTAAATAATTCAATAGGCAGTTTTTAATAAAATCTTTATTTGTATTTACTAAAAAATCTATTTTAAATTCTGTTTTAACTCTCGATTTATACATTTGCAAGTATACTATTGATATTATAGTATTTTATTTTGTTGAGAGCTTCTTTCAAGTTAAAGGTCTAGTAGGAATAAGTATTTTAGAACTAAGGAAAATAATCTTTGAGAAGAGAAAGAACAAATTTAAAAACAAATGATTTGATCTTAGTATTTTGCATCTATGAAAGGTAAATATTTCTGTTAATACAGAATATGCTAAACTAAAAATACTTGAAAGTAGATTTCATGATATAAATGATAAAAATATTACTATATAAGAGTTTGGAGAAAAAAAATTAACTCCATTTGATAATTTTGATGAAATTTTTATATATAATGACTTGAAGAATATTTGCATTATCAGCAACTATCACTACTCGTCACTATTGATAAATGTTTTCTGATAGTTTATCTCTTGAACAAGAAATTTGCATTATCTCACTTATATCTTTTTTTATTTAATTAGAAAAAAGAAGATATGAAGACTTAAACTTAAATGAAGAAAGTAGAACCTGAAAAAGGAGAAACAAACATATACATAATATATTCTGTTGTAATATTAATTAATAATCATGTTTTTGTTTTAAAATTCATTTTCTATTTTTAGTAAAAATCTTGACTTCTTTCTTTGCTTTGTCAATATTACAATCTTCTACTGTAAAGGTTTTTTTTTACAAGTTTTAAAATCATAACTAGGCTCTAAATTTGATGTTAAAAGTTACTTGTTATAATTACCAAGGTTGTAACAGTTCTGATTACAAAGATTGAAGATTTATTTTAATTCCTGAAGGGATAGGAATAGGAAAGACATGGATAAGTTGGGAATTAAAGTATTTGTCCTCTATACTGTTAACAAGTAGTGACACTACTAAGTTTATAGAAGTTCTAAAAGATCACTGTTACATCTTTATTGACTTAAATAATGGAAATAAATATATTAGAGATTTCAATAATGTGGAAGATTCAAATGTGCAAATAGGAATGCGTGTTGCAATGGCTTTAAGGTTGGTGCCTGAGTGTTCTCATCTACATAAATTATTAACAACAAAAAATTTTTTATATTTGACTAGTGTTTGAAAGGATAAACATTTGTAACTATATTATTTACAAATTTTACTTTTTTTATTACTTCTAGTTTTTTTAACTATAAATATAAATAAATTTAACTGTTATATTTTGTTTTTATATATATGTGTAAATTTTTCTTCAAATTAAATTTCTTATATAAATTATAAAAAAAGATTGTAAAATATACATAATTATATATAATAAAAAAAGATTGTAGAATATACATAATTATATATACAACTCTGAAAAAATTTATAATAAACCTTGTACTAACTTGAAAGTTATTAACATCATTATAAATATAAAAAATACATTCCATGTACTAATTGTAGAAAGTTAACTAGATCTGTTTGTGAATTTATATAATTCAATATGTTAACAAATTATGTGAAAAAGTATATTTATTTTTGATTATTAAATTTTTTTTTTTATTTCAACTTATTTGAAAAGTATCATAAAAGTATTTGTTAATATTATTAAATCTTATTTTTTCAATTAAATTCTTAAATGAATTATTTTTATTCTTTGTAATGTATAGTATATTATATTTGATTTTATACTTATATGCAAATAACCTATTATAATAAAGTCAAAATAGTTTTTATAGAAGACAAAATTATTTTATTTAAAACCTAAATTTTTTTTAATTGCTTAGATAAACTGGAATTTTTTTTTTATTTTCATATATAGAATAGATATCTCAATTTTTAAAAAGATGAAATTTCTCAAAAATTAGAAATCAATTTTGGAAACATGTATATTTGATATCAATTTACTTTTTTAGATTTTTATCAAATGAGATCATATTTCCTGAAATTGTATTTTGTAAATACGTATGTATAAAAATGTTCATAAAGATTTGTGATATTGATAATGACTTACCACAAATTACAAGTTCAATTTTTTTTATCTTTTCTAGGCATTGGTTTATATCATATTATTTTTACTTTAATTTAATTAGAAGATGTGCAACAAATTTTGCATATCTTAAAGTATATAATAAATGCAAAGGAATTGTATGGTTAGATTTATTTTTCCAGTTTCATTTAATTTTTTCCCAACTTTTTAACTAATCAGAGAGGTTTCTAAAACATTAATAAATTTAAGATATATAGTAAATTCAAAGGAATTGTATGTTAGATTTAATTTTGTCCCAACTTTTCAATTATTCAGAAAGTTTTCTAAGGTATTTTAAAGTATAAGATAGATTACAAAATTTTGGTACAATTAAAACTAACCGTCGCATTCTATTTTTATATATTTTTTGTCTTAACTTTTTAACTATTCAGAAAGCTTTCTAATTGCTTGCATGAATATTTGTTTAAAAAGATGTGACAAAAATGTGGAAGAAAAATATAAAATCTTCCAATCTCAAATGTGAAAGTAAATAAAAGGAATCATTTCGGTTAGATTTATTAAACCTGCTAAAAAAAGGAAAGGTAGCAGAAAATCAAGAATAAACCCTGGTGAAATTGTCCCAATTTCCCCAGAATGACAATGTGTCCTCATCCATCAAAAGATCATTGGTTTAAAGCAATTGATGATGAAGAATATGAAAAAAATATTTCCAGAAAATATATATTAATTCCAAAGTGTTTATATATATATATATATTCAATAAATTTCTTTATTTAAATTCGATTCACTTCCTTATTTAATTCTTCGGAACTTTAGAATAATAATTAATATTCAGAAATATGAAATTTAAATAATATTTATTTATTGAAATTACCTTTCCAAATTTCAAGGATTATTATTTTTATAATCATTCCATTCACGCTGAGTTGTAGGAAATCCTTTTTCAGCACGAATAAGTTCTTCACTGGTCAATTGATCATCAATCAATCTAATTATGTACTGAAATGGACAATTATCTTGTGGTTTATCAGATTTATTATCGTTTGGTGAATTTGTTTTTTCATTAGGAATGTCTCCTGTAGATAAAACGTGTTTCTCTGTAGGATTGAATTAGAATTAAATTTAAATTAAATTTAGAATTAAAAAATTAAAAAATATTACAAATAAATAAATTCGTAAAATTCATACCTTCACCGTCTTCTAACAATTTCAATTCAAGTGTTTTTGTGTTAGTCCAAACCACAGAGTAAAAATTTTTAATGGATTCGTATTGGATATGAACATTTTCGCATTGATCTACTTGAACAGTTTGGACTTGAGTATTCAACTATTTAGTGAATATACAAATTAGGGAATGAATGAATAAAGTTAAGGTTAATTGAATTCATGATCACCAGTGGAGAGCTTTAACAACACCCGAAAAAGTAATATTTACCTTAAGAGTAATATTCTCGGATTTCCAAACTTCAATTATGGAAGTAACTACCTTATCATTCACGATCAATACCAGATTCTTACATTCCTCTTTTTACAATATATATAAATCTCTCTCAAATAAAGTAAATAGATATAAAATTTTACATAAATAACATGTGATAAATTTATAATGCTATACCAATCATAATCTTGGAGCAAGCAGAACCAACTATATACTCAATATCATTACAAAGTCGTATGAAAATGGTGGAAGTTGAGGAGATCGATGATGTATCTAAATATTTGGATATTGAGCTTTCGTTTACCTGCGTTCATTGTAAATATAAAGTTAATGGAAAGTAATAAATTTTTTTACGAATTCTTGAAATAGTACTCAACAAAAAACTTTCGTTGGTGCAATAATTTTCCAACCAAAGTTGGATATAACTCATTCTGTTGCATATCTTTGATAGATATTATCGATATTATGGGGACCAAGGTAACAATTAATTCCTTGGGATTTGTCTCACTTAGATAAATGGTTAACAAATCACGTGGTACAAATCAACTGGCAGTTTGAGTTCGAATCTAATTAAGGTAGTGATAGATCCTAAACGTGTTGCCAATTCAACTTCAATAATATATTCTCATTTCAATATTTTTAATTCCTGCGCGAGTTTGTTCTCTTCTAATTCATCATTGGGTAATTTAAAGTAAAAATATATAATTGTTAGGTAGAGGTAGATGTTGATATAATAATTCATTACACCTTCATATCTAAATTGTAAAAGCCAAAAAAAAAAACCTTAATTAAGTAAGAAATTATGATTAATTATAGTTAGCTATAGTTAATCAATTCAATCCATCCGTGGATCTAAAGTTAATATAGTAAACAATATAATATACAGCATATTTTTACGTATTATCAGATTTTCTCGATTTGTCTGATCAAAATTTCCACATACAAAATAATAATTTTGTATTACACAAAAGGAAATTGAAATTTGAATTGTAATACGACCTTAAAATCTTTAACGTTAAACAAAGAGTCGACCAATATAATTCGGAAATTGGCTAACCATTTGTTGGTCAATACAAACTTTGGAACTTTGTTCCCTATATTTTTTTTTTTTTTTTTACTTTCTTTTTAAAGCGGTCTGTCACATTCCTTCTGGTAGGAGTTCTTTAAAAAAAATAAAATATTTGAGATTTAAAAAAATTTCATACAACTAACAAATTTTTACTTCCGGTTTGTATAATAATATAGCACCTTTCAAAAAAATTTTTTTTTTTTTTAAAAAAAAAGCCTATTTTTTAATTTATAAAAAAGTAAGAAATTATTTCTTTTTTTTACAAACTATTTTTAATATACGGTCCAACATTTACTATTTGGTCAAATAAGTTCAAATAAGTCATCTAACATTCGATATTACTTTATGTTAAAAGAACTAGATCTACATATTCATTATAAAAAATTTAAACCTCAACTTATGATCTCTTTCTTATTTATTTTATAGATCAACATAATCAATTCTTTTCCTATCATACAATTATTATTCCTACCTTTATATCATAATATACCACCAAAAAAAAAATGCATAGAAAACAAAAACAACATTCAATGTCAGAACTTAAGCTCCGTCGATTAGTAGAACTTAATCAAAGACTTCGTGAAGATTTAGATCGTTCACGAGTAAGAGTTAGTGAAGCAAGTGCAAGGTATAAATGAGAATTTTAATTTAAATATTTGATGATAATTTATTAAATACAAAAATTAATTAAATTAAATAAATATTATTTAGTCTAATTACATATTGTAGAGACACTAGAGATTTTCTGGTACCATCAGTTTGGGGTCCAGTTGATAAACGTGATGACCCTTATGCACCATCTGGCGGTGGTTGTAATTGTATTATTATGTAAATAAGGTAAAAAAAATAAATAAATAAATATTTTATCAAGAAATATGTAGGATGTTTTTTCATTCATATAACAAAAATTCTCATATTTTTACCTTTATCACAATCCCAATAATAATAATAATAATAATAATAATAATAATAATAATATGTTAATGTTAAATATAATTATGTTATTTGTATAATCACATATGAAAAAATGGGTTGTTTTGATGATCAGGTTGGTCTCCTTTTGTTTTTTTTCTTTAACTATTATTGGGAAGGTTGCATGTCATGTTCCTTCTGGGAAAGGTACATTTCTTTCCTATTTAATATTATATAAATTATTGTAAAAACTATTTAATAGATTTATTGATGACTTTGATTTTTCTTTTTTTTAATTGTTTTTTTTCCTGTCATTATAGATGATTGTTCTTTTAGAAAATGCAAGGAATAAAAATTTATGATTTATACTTTTTTTTTTATTATAATATGTATACATTTTTATTTTTGTATAATCTTATAATCTATCATTCACCTTTATATCATCTGTTCCTTCCATTTTTAATTGTATTATTATTTTTCCCTTTCAAATAATCATTATTATCATTATTATATTATGATTATATATATATACACATATATATATTTATTTATTCTTTTTCTCAAAAAATGCTTTTATTTGTATTGATGACTTAATGCATCTTTTAAATAAAGGTTTTTTGGTATATATATATATATATAGAAAAAGAAGGAAGGAAGGAAGAAGGAAAAAGAATTTATATATTCTAAAGAGAACAAGAATTTGGTTAATAGAAATATTAAAATAATATTTTTCACAATAATTTTTTTCAAAATAGTAATATCTTTTAATTAATAATTTTTTTAGAGAAAGAACATTAAAATTTTAAATATTTTCTTTTCTTTTTTATTAAATGCAATTAACATTTAACATTTAATACCACTTTTTACAAATAAAAAGATAGTATTGTTACATTATAAAGAAATGAAAAGATATTAATTTGGAAATTATTTTAAGTATAATATTTTATTTCACGCCAGTGTTGATTATCAGCCAATAAAAATAAAATACATGATTTAATTTCAGGCGATCGATATTATTTCACGTGATTATAAATATTCGGTGACAAATATGCTTTGCGCATGTAAAAACCTAGGATATCTAATAAAAATTGATATCATATTATCTTAAATAATTGCAAATTTTACCTAAAGCACAAAATCTTTATGTTTTAATTTATTTGATTCTAAACCTTCATTAATTGATACTATTATACTCGTTAAAATATCATATATCTTTCACCTATTGGTTAACAAATAAGTGTCAGGTTAGTAGTTGATTAAAGTTTTTTTTCTATATGATTTAATCATTTAAATTTAATTAAAATATATAATTATAAAAACTAGTTATCAATTAAAGATATTAATTATCAATTTGTACGTTCGTGTCCCAACATTTCCAAATTAAAGGGGTCCTTGTATTGAAGTATAACATTATCCGCCTCTAAATTTCGTTATTTCTTTCAACTTTTATACCTATTCTTTGGGCAATATCACGGGCATCATTTAAAGTTAATCTACGAACCCATTTTATATATTTAATTAATTTGATTTACTGCATTGTCTTAATATTTACAATTCAGAAGAAAAATATTACTAATAACGCGACAGATCTGTGCAATAATAATTACACGATAACTTTATCTCGCAACGATACAAAGAGACTCACGCAAAAAAAAAAAATATACGGAAAATATATATATTTTATCCATGATGTTCGATTGATATGATATATGGGATGTCTAAAAAATCAAATATGAAATATAAAGAATGCGTGATCATTTTATTTTTATTTGTATTTAGTCTTGGCAGTGTCCAAAAATAAAAATAAAGTTTCATCCATCGCTTTATTTTTGCAAATATATGTTTCCAAAATAAAAAGATTCTGAGATATCTATTTTATATATGAAGTACCCAGTTAATTATATGAAATTTAAATTTCGGATGCAAAGTATATAATTATTTATTTTTACAACTTTGTTCAACGATGGGAGGGTCCCAAAAAACATCTGAAACCGGAATAATCACTTGATATGCAGCAATATCAAAATCTCCATAATTTAACCTAACATTAAACCCTCCCCCCCCCCTTAAGAAATGAACTGTATAGAATTATTAAATTTATAAAACACGTAATATCATTGATCTATGTGCTTGGCCGTGTATAGTTATTTTGTGCATCTAGGTTTCACATACTGTTTCCCATTTATCAACGTATTGAGTGTTACAAACGATTTTTGTGTGATTACAAATTCAAAGTGCATTCATGTCGCTAGGGGATGAGGAGCTAGCGGTCGTAAAACATGTTAGATCGCATTTATAATTACTTATGGAAATTCGTGTATTACAGGTAAGTTACTGTGAAATGCCAAAAAAAGTTAGATATGAAACAATTTTTTAACAATGGCAAATGGTTTAAATATATATAGTATATATATTTAATAGGTTTTCATTAAATATTTTATTTTTTATTCTTGATAGTCAAATGTATAATAACATTTGGCATATATTTGGACATTTATAATATTTAGACTTTTGACATTCATTAAACATTTGACATTAATATTGAATGACAAAATATTTGACAAATGAAAACAAATTCCACTATTAACTCTAATTCGGATTTACATTTAGTGAAGAGTTATATATAGATAATATAAAAAAAAAAACTTTGTATAAGTGTTTTGCATTAATAATCTTTAATAAATTAATCATTCTTTTTAGTATATATTTAGCAGCAATTACAACTGAATGTAGGTATGAAAATAATCACATCTTTTTACATATTTTTTTGCTTCATCAACTTTAGATAGAATGTAGGAACTAAATATATATATATATTGATTAAGTTTTGGATTAGATAATTTAGATTATTTAAATTTATTGCTCATTAAAATATGGACATCTTGTTCTAAATAAAATAAATAGAATATAAAAAAAAAATATAAATAAATATATAATAGATATATAAAAATATAAATAAATAAATAAATTGATTTATTAATTATTATTATTATTTTTTTTTTAAAAAAAAAAATTAATTTAATTTTTTCATATATTCACTAATGTTCCAAACATTAGTTTTTAATTCAAGATGTTGCAAGTTAAGTCCGTCCTGAAAATAAATAAATAAATAAATAAATGAATAAATAAATAAATAAATAAATGAATAAATAGATGAATGAACAAATAAATGAATAAATAAATGAATAAAAAATAATAAATAATAATAATTAATTAATTAATTAAAGAATTAAAACAAAAACGTACAAATAATTTCCTAGTTTCACTTCTCAATTCTTTTATTTGATCTGTTGTAGCAGCACTTCCTTGAAGCGATTTTAATTCACCTTCTAATCTTTCAATCTTTTGTGCATAATCTCGTACCTAATTAATATTCCAATAAAATAAAATAATAATAAAATAATAATAAAATAAAAATAAAATAATAATAAAATAATAATAAAATAATAATAAAATGATAATAAAATAATAATAAAATGATAAACTAAGAAATATCTATTCAATACCTTACTAGTAGATTTCTGAAGTTCTTCTACTGAACTTAATAAAAGATTAGAAGCAGTATGATATTCATCTAAAAGATAATAATATCCGGAACCACCTGCAATCGTCAAACCTAATAAGAATCCAATGAGACTATATACAAAAATTACATGTATGTGTGTTTAATTGATTTTTTTTTTTGATTTTAGGAATATTCATAAAAATTTCAACTTTAGCAAATTTTTTTTTTTAAAATATTTATTAAAACATTCATTAAAACATTTATTAAAAGCAATTGCACATAATGAATTTAATGTACATAATGAATTTAATGAATGTAATGAATTTAATGAATATAATGAACATAATAAATATAATGAACGCATTGAATATAAACATAGTGAATGAACGTAATGATGATGACAATAATAATAATAATAATAATTAATAATAATAACAATAATAATAATAATAATAATAATAATAATTTATAATAATTATAATTAATAATAATTAATAATAATAATTAATAATAATATTACTATTACTTACCCCCCTCGAAAAGCACCAATTGGGTTTCTTATTATTGGGGTTAGACGTTTTTCTGGTTTTTCAATATCAGCAGAAGTTTCGTTATGTTGAGCACGATATATTGTACTATAATTAAAATTTCGAATAATAAGTGATTGTGGTGGTGATTGTAATGGTAATGGTAGCGACGACGGTGGTGATTTCGATGTTGATAGTAATGATATTGTTGTTAAAGGTTTTAAAAATGATGCTGTTAATATTGTTGAGAACTGTCGAGATTGTTGCTGAAATTGTCGAAACTTTTGAGTAAATGATTGCATATTAAAAAATTTTTTTTTAGAAAAAGAGAATTCGAGATGATAATCAATCGTAGTATCAATAAAAATCAAATTGCCAAATTGCGTATAGTATACTTTCGGACTTTTCTGTGATTTGCATAGTTTTGCATAGTTTTGCATAGTCTTAACGGAGATTAAGTCTAACTTTATACTGTGTATTGCGTATTTATTTATACCACAATAAAAAAAAGCCATTATTTTTGGAATCGGCGTTATTTTTCATTGTCCGGAAGTGATACCAAAATTCCGTTTTTGATGCTTTAAAAAGTTCTGATCTTGATTAATAATTTATTTCTCAAATATAAAATATCAAAAATGTAACTTGGGATCGATTTTTAGATAACGATTGTCAGATAAATAACACGAATGAAAATAGAAATAATTTACCATTTCCTAGTTATATTTAAAATGATAATTATTTAATTACCGTGTAATTTTTTGAATTCTTTTTAATTAATTAATTAATTAATTATTAATAAAAAAATAAAAATAAAATAAAAATGTCAAATAATAATTTTCCAGATATTTCTTCTTTACCAATTACACCAGAGCGTTTATCGCTTTTGAATCGTTTCAAAAGTGAAAGGTTAGGAAATGTAAGACCTTTAAAAGAATTTTTTAGTAGAGAAAGGTTTTCTAAACCTAATGGCATGGGAGGTAAGAATCTCACATTCAAACGATATATATTCTACATATATTTTATATATATTATTCGATATATGTTCAATATATATTAAATATAGTAAAATATAATATTAATATATTCGATATAACTATTTATATTTATTATTTATATTTAATTAAAGATGTTGCCCAAAGACTTTCCTATAACTTGACACATTTTCAATCAAATTATATTATTGTCGTTTTGGGATTATTGGTTTATTGCTTGTAAGTATTAATCATTATTAAATATATTATTATTTTATCATTAATATTTGTGTTGCTAAATATCACCGCAGGTAATTGTCACCGCTTGGTCAAATTTCATAATTCCCTTGATCTTCCTAATTCTAACTTTGCCCACATAAATTTAATTTTGCTCAGTGATTACAATCACCCGCGGTGATATTTAGCAATTTTCTTATTAATATTTTTATTATTATTATTATTATTATTACAACTAATTCTAATTCCAATTAATTTATGCTAATTTATGTTAATTTAGAATCACAAATTTATGGCTTACCTTAACTATTCTTTTCCTTATGGGTGGATTAAATTTTATTCGTAAATTACCACCTAATGAACCATTTGTTTTTCATGAATATGTTATAACTCAAAAAAAAATGTATACGGTATTATTTTGCATTTCTATTCCTCTTTTATGGATATCTTCTGCTGGGTCCACTATATTTTGGATTGTTGGTATGTTATTGTTTATATATATATCTATCTATCTATCTATTTTTTTTATTTTTATTTTTTTTTTTGGTTGAGATTTATTATTAATTTTTATTATTAATTTTTATTATTAATTTTTATTATTATTAATTTTTTTTTATTAATTTAATAATAATAATAATAATAATAATTAAATAAAATAGGTGCTTCGGCAACTTTGGTACTAGGTCATGCTGCATTATTTAAACCTGATATAAACGAAAGTTTTACATCTGATAGTCAAGTGTAATCAATCAAGTTATCATCATCATCATCATTATTATTATTATTATTATTATTCCGTCAATTCAAATCTTTGTATTTCATTTTGTGGATATCTAAATATAAATTTATATTTATAACAAATAATAGAAGTGATACATATTCCTCATGATTGGTATAACTTCATTATTTTGATTCAAATAAATTCATTTCTGTTTCTGTTTCTGCATATATTCGAAATTATATATATTCATATTAAATATTTATTCTTTTTATAGTATATATTTTGTTAATTGTATAATTTTATGTTTTATTATGCTTCATTTACCATGATTTACTGTGAAATAATTTTACCTAAAGTGTATTAAATTCATGATTTTTATATGTAATTTTCATGGATTTATTAGTGCAAATTCATAACAATATTTATACAATATATAGTGATAAATTAATCATTCGATTGTTTGAATACTACTTGGAACAATTACAAAATGCAAGAACTCCCAAATAATGTGTATGCTTTAGGCAGGCAGAAAGGAATATTATTATTATTTATTTAATATTCCAGTATTATTATTGTTATTTTCTCATAATTATTATATTAATATAAAGAATTTTAATTATATATTTTGCTTTCGAAATTTTAAATAAAATTATACAGATATATTTCAATTGCAAACAAAAAGTTTTAAATTAAGTGTAATACAAAGATAATGCTCTGTGCGATTATCGATATAATTCAACGATATAGTCGCGCAATTACATCGCGAAAAGATGTTATTTGGAACTTGCTGATGACCTAATTGAAATAGAGAACTTTCTAGGACATGAATTATTTTAAAAATTTTAAACCGAAACACGAGATTAATTACATGATACGAATACAATTGTATATCAGAAAGTTTTAAAGATTTTTTAAAAAAATGATAGGTATAAATTAATCAAAAAATAACAAAAAAAAACGGAAAAACAATAAATACAATATTAATTCAAGTAATTCCTACCACGCTTCAATAAAATAATACTAAAAATAACATAAATAAAACAGGCACTTAATGCAGTCTTAATTTATGGACCAGGTAATTTGATGTTCAATGTCGTGAGAGATGGATAAATGTACTTAGTCCTGAAATAAGAAAGGATTCATGGGCCAATGAAGTTAATATTTTTTGTTTATTACATTTTTTGATAATTTGTTAGTTGAGACATTTATCATTATTATTATAGGAAGACGAAAATTTATTGAGTTTAATACAAAACATAGGATTAGAGAAGTGGCCAAAGATTTCAACTTTTATGGACGAACGAACAGACAATCAGATAAATTAATTAATGACCCATATACATTATTTATTTATTCAAATATATTAAAATTTATTCATTATTATTTATCATTTTAAAAACAAGCTATGATGAATTAGCAAATTTCTAATTTAGAAAATAAACTTATAATTTTAATGTACATCTTAAAATGACATTTATTTTATGTATTTATTTTTATATTGTAAAAAAAAAATTAAAGAGAAATAAAATAATATGCTACGATATACATTAAATAAAGTGATTTTTTTCCGTTTTTCCTATGATATTAAAAAATACTTACATTATAATCATTGTTTCTTGGTTTCCAGTTCGCGTTAGGAAATCTACAAATAGATAGACGATGCACAGGATATGGCCCTATACACCGCCATTAGCAATAGCAATAAACAATAGACAAATGAATAAAATAAAATAAATAGAAAAACACCCACTATCCTAGTATTTTTCCACTATCTTCTTTTTCTTCTAAAGTTTCTTTCTTCCAAACCTACCTCAAATATCGTTATCCTAATATATATGAAAAAGAAAAAAAAATGAAGGTTAATATTTATAAAATTCAAAGATCAAGGAAATTAGGAAAATGGAAAAACGGAAAATGAGGAAAAGTGAAAAAGGTGAAAAAGTGAAAAAGTGAAATTAAGAAAAAAAAGAAAAAACAAAAAAGCGGAGGTTTAAATATTTTTTTTTTCATCTTAAAAGGTTCTTAGTTATGCAGTAATGCATGCATAACTTCTAAAAGTTTCTTAATTAAGACAATCAAACGCAAAAATTTTGTAAATAAAAAGATGATTATCTCATGAAATTTCCTTTTTTGAAAAACAAAGTAAAGTTTCAATGATCCCTAAATTTCGATGACATAATTATTACTATACACTGATCAAATAAATTCTTTAGCTATTTTTGCTTTCTTCTCACTTCATTTTTGTTTCAACTTTTCAATTTTTCAATTTTCTCCGCTCCGCTTTTCTAATCTATTATTATTAAAGAATTATTAAAGAATAATAAAGAATAAAAATATTAACCTTTACTTTTTTTTTCTTTTTCATATATATTAAGATAACGATACTTGAGGTAGGTTTGGAAGAAAGAAACTTTAGAAGAAAAAGAAGATAGTGGAAAAATACTAGGATAGTGGGTGTTTTTCTATTTATTTTATTTTATTCTATTTGTCTATTGTTTATTGCTATTGCTAATGACGGTGTATAGGACAATGTCCTGTTCGTCGTCTATCTATTTGTAGATTTCTTAACGCGAACTGGAAACCAAGAAACAATGATTATAATGTAAGCATTTAAAATTTTATTGATAGAAAAGCGGAAAATAGAAAAAAGAAAATTTCAAATAAAATGTAAACGAATAAAAGTTTGTGATTATAATAGAAAAAAAAAAGTTCTTTATTTTGCTTTAAAAAAATATATCACTTTTACAATTAAAAGTTTTAGCTTATTAAAAATAATTATATTATGTTATTTTCAAAGTTGCAGACATTTTGAAAGCTAGAGACCTAATAAATATTGTAAAACGAAAAAAGAATTCCAAGTAAGAAGTGATATTATTTCATTACTGTTTGTTATCTCCTCCTGTCCTTCTATTATCTTCCAAGAAAAATTGTTTATCTCCTTCTGTTACAGAAGACGAATTTTTTTAGACTTAAATATTGGGAATATAATAATTATATAATACTATAGACTTTATGAATAAAAAAAAATGAATCATTTTAAGAATGAATATTAAACTTGATCTAATAGGTTTAAAGCGCTATAATCATTAGTAAATTCGATGATGATGAAATGGAGTGAATTCTGTTCAATGGGAAATGTTAATTCGGATGAAACTCCTAGCGAGTGGATGAACCGGATTTGGCCTCACTTACAATATTTCAGAGAATGATCTTTTACCTACTGAAAGCAAAAAAATATTTTGAAGCTAGAAAATTGATACGATTCCCAAATGCTAATGTTATGTATTATTCATAATTTTAGTTATTGATTCACATCCTTTGATAAATCAAGAACTGAATAAAGGCATTCACGGCTTTCATATACAAATTCTCTTCTTCAACTGGATAATTGATCTTTATTGGTATAAAAATAATTATAATATGTGGAATTTTGAAAATATGGGTCTTACATGATAATTCTCTTTAATATTATTAATATTAAATTAATTCACGCATTTATAATTTTTTTTATTAAAATATATTACAATTGTTAAAAGACTTAGATGATTTACATTATAATAAATGATAAAATGTATTAAAATGAAATGTAAATATTGTAATTAAGTTACTAAAATAAAATAAATAAAGTAAAAATTAGATGTAAAATTTTTAATTGGGATTTATTTAAGAAATTAAAAATTAAAAAGAAAAAATTAAAAAAGAAATATTGTTTTAATTCATAAAAAATCATCATTTTTTAAAATCTCTCATGTAGAGGCCAACTGTCATTAACTCATCCTTTCCTCCCGCTTCTCGTAGATATTTACAATAATTAAATTAGATTGATTGATTACATTCTTTTCTTCAATAGTGGTAGGAAAGTACTGGAAGTAGGTGACGAACTTGATCTAAAGTTAAATCTTGAATTAACAGATTGAAAACTAAATCTTCTTGGACGTTTGGATGAAGTATTTTTTTATTTTTGAAGATTTATGATGAAATGATAGGAGAAGAGGAAGAATTTATAATTGAATCATTCATCACAGGTGGAGACATATTAATAAGTCAATTAGATTTATTCTAGCATTTCGATTCAAATTACCAAGATTAACAAAATTCGAGGAAGTTTTTATTTTAGGTGATATGGGTGGTGACATTGGACGTCCTCATAATGAATTTTTGAATATTCCCATTTAAATATTCGTCGAAACCGACAATAATGGATTTAATATGTCATTATGATAGAATATATCTAAGGAATCTTTTGAAATTGATAAAACACGGTTACAATTTCCACTAACGCTGATCAGATTATCATTATCTTACCTTACCCAGTAGGCGATTGTTGTACTACTGTGACACAATTGACAATTACTATTATAAAATCATTTTTTTTTTACTCTTTCCCGCTCTTTACTTTTCTCTTCCCTTCTTTTTTTTCACTTTTTAGAATCTACTTTTTTTATTTCAAATAAATTATTTGTGAAAGTATTATAAAGATCCTTTACCTTTCTTATTATTATGTTCAGCAATGCAAAGCATTATTGTCAGAAGTCCTAAGTAACCGGGTACTAATTTATAGAGTAGTTTTTTTTTTATACAATTAACTATCACATTGGTCTACGAAAAACGAGTGCTCGAGTGATGTTTAGACCCATGATCATTTTCAATGAGATACAAGTGCCAAAGTGAAAATACTAATTAATTAATATCATCTGGATAAAGTTCGCAAGTATTTTTAAGATTATTCAGCAGCGGATGAAGATTTAGATAGTTTTATTTTTATTTAAATTTTGTTTCGTTTAAAGCATCGTAAACATTGTAATGTATTATAACATATTTGTTACGTTCAATAAGATTATTTTTTATTTGACTAAAAAATGATTAAAAATACAAAAAAATGTATTAAAAAATATATATAATTAAATATAAAGAACAATAAATAATAAAAAAGAAGAAATCAATCGCATTGAATAAATTTCATTTCTCTAATAAAGAAAAAAAGAATTTGCTATGTGAATTAATAGGTTTTATTTTAAAAATTTAAAGAAAATCATTCTGTTTCGTGATGATCCCAGATTATAGATTATTTACATTAGATTATATAATAAATAAATAAATAAATATATATATATATATACCAAGTCGGTCACGAGAAGTTGGTACCAAATTAACGATTAATATTATACAATTTGTATACTTATCATCATCATTTTACTAATACTGCGAGACCCGACTTGTCGATGTCACCTATGATGTAAACATGAGGAACTGAATTTTTCTATAAAATTAGTTAAGAGCGCAGTGATGGTGTACCAAATGAAGGCGATACAACCGCAGCGAGAGCAATGAGCTTAATTACCCCGACTATCAATCCCATTATAATTAATACGCAGATTAAGCATAACCAATAAAAACAGGAATTCTCTATTTATTATAAACATAAAATTTATAAACTAATTAAATTAATATAAAGGAATACATTGAAGGAAAGGAATTATACTCTTTATTTCCATTTCAGAACGGTTTACGGAATTCCAATTTTCAAAATCATTTACAGAATCATTTACAAAGCACGAGATGTCATTTCTCGTTGAATATCTAACATGAGTTTGTGTTGGTGTAGATATTATTATAGAATACGCAGGTACAACATCAGCCGAAATAGATTCATATGATGGCGGTTCTTCACCCACTTTTATTTGATTATGATTATTCGAGTCCGACATGACATGAATGTGAATGTAAAATTATAGAATGAAAAAAATTTATTTGATTTTTTATAACAATTTCAATGGTAATATTTTTGGAGAATGAATTACGCCAAGATTAGCCAAGATTCAAACAATTAACACATGACAACTATCTATTTTAGAAAAGGAATATTTTCGGATCACATGATGCTGACGTTTAGAGTAACCATATATAAATTATTATTATTGTGCTACGTATAATCTATCTCTCGATGAAGTTTAGTGTTGGTAAAACATTATTATTGTGCTACGTATATGATTAATTAAAATCCGAACGCGTTACATCTCCTATTTATTATTATTATTATTATTATTATTATTATTATTATTATTATTATTATTATTATTATTATTATTATTATTAT